TACCTACCTACCTACCTACCTACCTACCTACCTACCTACTTGCTTTTTGGGGGGGAGGTTAGGCTGCTCATTTTTGAACATGGAGAATTTTTATGGGTTTAGAACTGCCCAGAATCTTTGGGGAAAATGGGGAATATAAAGAAGTCAAGATGAACATTTCAGATGATTACATATCACACCCCTCAAAAAAAAAACCTTGCATTTGTCTACACTCAAATGAAGGCTATGCTTTGTTCACAAGGAGATCTGGCTTACCTGAAGGTCATCTGGAAAACCTGGCCTTGGTTGACATGTTGGGTCCTGTTGTTGTAGCCATGAAGCATCTCTCCAAAGAGAGTGTCGTTGAAGTTCACATCTGGCTTGAGACACTTGGGGCCCTCACAGATGTCCGATAACAGGAGGCAGGACTTGCCATCTGGAGCCAACTTGTACTCCTCAACACAACTGAAGACCAAACACAGAGAAAAATCTTCAGCATCAGTCCAGAACACAATGGAACAAGTCAAATCCAGCTCAATCACATTGTAGCTATCGCACAACTCCAGATGAGATGGAATTGTAACTCCTGGTATGTCAAAAGGATTAGAATGGGGCATTCCAAAGGCAAAATATTTTGTACCTCGCTCCTCTTTGCTAGATAACTTTGATGAAATAATAAAAGTGGTGGCGGGGTGGTTAGAATGCAGCATCGCAGGCTAATTCTGCCCACCGCTAGGAATTCAATCCAGACTGGTTCCAGGTTGACTCAGCCTTCTGTCTTTCCGAGGTCACTAAAATAGGGACCCAGCTTGTTGGGGGGGGGGGGGCAATAGACTGACTGTAAAAGGGTTAGAGTGTGCCGTAAAGCATTATGAAGTGGTATATAAGTCTAAGTGCCGCCCTAACCCTCAATTCTAGTTTAGGCTAGAATAACTCATTTTGGTTAACAAAAGCGCGTTTAGTCAAGGCTGTGGTTTTCCCAGTTGCAATGGATGGCTGTGAAAGTTGGACCATAAGGAAGGCTGAGCGCTAAACAATGGAGGCCTTTGAACTCTGGTGCTGGAGGATACTCCTGCGAGTCCCTTGGACTGCAAGGCCATCCAACTGATCAGTCCTAGAGGTAGATCAACCCTGACTGCTCTTTAGAAGGCCAGATCCTGAAGAGGAAACTCAAAGACTTTGGCCACCTGCTGAGAAGGAAGAAGGACTCTCTGGAGAAGAGCCTCATGCTGGGAACGATGGAGGGCAGAAGAAGAAGGGGACCACAGAGAAGGAGGTGGCTGGCTGGAATCATCGAAGCAATCGGCGTGAACTTAAATGGGCTCCAGAGGAGAGTAGAGGATAGGAAGGCCTGGAGGAACGTTGTCCATGGGGTTGTGATGGGTCAGACACAACTTCGCAACTAACAACAACTCCTTTTGGTAACCTCACAGGACAGTTTCAAGGATGGCAAAAATTGTGTGCAGGAGAAATCCATTCTGGAGCCGACTTAACTCATCCATGTCATAAAATGCCCTATCAGAACTGCCACTTCATGCCCGCCTTCTGCTACTGTTCATTGCCAGTCTGCTACGGACCATGGAAGGGAGGGTGAACGCTTGTGGGGGAAAGTGAAACTGATGGAAATAAGTGTACCTCTCAGAGAGGGTGCTTCAAGGCCGTTTCTCTGGGAGAAGAATGCAGCTGCAAGGCAGCTTGCACTCAGAGTGACTGTTTCCTAAACATCTTCAGCAATGGGAAGTATCTGGGAGAGGGGAAAGTTATACCGAGGGATTTGGCACGTCATCTTCAGTTCTGGCTTTGTTTTACTGTGATCCGCTTGGCCTTTAGTAAACTATACCTTTATAGTTTATAAAGTGTATAGTTTATAGTCTTTTTAGAGGGACATGGTGGCTCAGGGCTAAGACGCTGAGCTTGACAATCAGAAAAGTTGGCAGTTCAACGGTTCGAATCCCCAGCGCCGCGTAACAGAGTGAGCTCCCGTGACTCGTCTCAGCTTCTGCCAAACTAGCAATTCGAAAGCAAGTAGATAAAATAGGGAAGGTGCACCCTCAGCATTTACTCATGCTGGCCACCTGACTAAGGAGACGTCTTCGGACAGCGCTGGCTCTTTGGCTTTGAAACAGAGATGGGCACTGTCTCCTAGATTCGGGAACGACTATCACATATGTGTGAGGGGAGGGGAACCTTTATTTTGCCTTTACTTTTATCAACACATGGAGTCAAGGATGGTTCTTACGTAAAGAAACAAGTTGGGGCAGGATGGACATGCTCACTGTCAGTAACCAAATGCCAACAGGAGAGGTCAGAGAAGATGTACCACTTGCCTAGATGTTCTCCATTTTCCCACCCCTGCATCTACTGTACCTTCACGCCATTGGTTATATGTTAATCAACTGGCTAATTAAGTCACTCGGTTGCCTTTTTTTTTTCCTCTCAGCGGAAAAATAAATTAAAACAAGACCCAGATCTAAGGTACAGGAAGCCCCTCCAGCTAATCCAGGTAGAATTAGAAATATTCTTGATATTTTGAAAAAATAGGGCTCTGCCTTAATGCATTTTCCTCTTTGTCTCCCCCACTTCCCTCCTCCCCCAGCTGTAAAACAATTTACACAAAACCAGGAAGTGGTGAAGCCAACACCCCAGGGAGCCGTGAAGGGTTGCAACACAACAAAATTGCTGCCACCTGTGCAGCTGGCGATGTCAGGATTTGACAGATGTTTCGTGGCATGGCTTTTCAGGAAGTGCTTCTCTGGTGCAGAAACGTACCCTTCGCAGCCTGCTGAAGGTCAGCAAGGAAGTGCATGGTGGCGCTAGATTTTGTGCCGCGAACTGAAGCAGCAAATAAACTGGAGGAGGAAATGTGGGGAAAGGTAAGTATATTGACACAGGGGTGTCCCCGAGAACAGTATTGAATGAAACACAAGAGCTTTGAAGAGGAGAAATATCCCTTATTATTAGTGAATGTGCGAGCAAGGTGCACATTGCGTGAAGAATGGGGATAAGAAGAGGGAGTCAAGGAAGAGGGAGTCAAACTATTCTCCAAGGCTCTTTCCTTGCACAGCACTGTGTTTGGGAAATATTTACAGGGCAGCATTCCAAGCTAGATAAGGTCTGTGGTCATAAATACACCTTTGAAAGACTGTTTGCCAGGCCTTTGCCTGAATGTGAACGAGAGGAATTCACATTCATTTAATAAAAGGGGTTTTTGTGGGGGACCAGAACTCTGCTTTGTGCTTTTTGGGGAAGCCTAGGTCAGAGCAGCATCTACGATTGAGAAGTCAATCAGTTCTGCTTAATGCATCCATGTACTGAGAATACCCATCCTTTTCCATTTAAAGATAAATAATTAATTCCATTATGGATAATAATAAATAGTAATAAACTGAAAGATCAGTGAAGGGAAAGAAGTAGGGAGGAGGAGGAGGGTAGCTGTATGGGTGGGCGGAAGAGAGGGAGGGAGGAAGAAAGGAAGGAAGGATGGAAAGAAGGAAGGAAGGAAGGCAGGTGGAAGGGAGGGTGGGAAGGAACTTGCAAAACTATTTAACCAGGGGAATCTGTCATGTTTTTTTGGAGAAAGTCTGTGAGATAGGTTGCATTAACAGAGGGATAGAATCAAGATCACGTGAAGCGTTAATACCACTTGATAAGGCCTTGGTAAGGCCACACTTGGAATACGGATCCAGTTTTGGTCGCCACGATGTAGAAAAGAGGCTAAAACATATGAAGAACGGTTGCAGGATCTGGGTAGGTCTAGTTTAATGAAAAGAAGGACTAGGGGAGATATGATAGAAGTCTTCCAATATCTCAGGGGCTGCCCCAAAGAAGAGGGAGTCAAACTATTCTCCAAAGCACCTGAGGACAGGACAAGAAGCAATGGGTGGGAATTAATCAAGGAGAGAAGCAACCTAGAACTAAGGAGAAATTTCCTAACGGTGAGAGCAATTAACCAATGGAACAACTTGCCTCCAGAGATTGTGGCTGCTCCATCAGTGAAGGCTTTTAAAAGAGACTGGGCCATTATTTGTCTGAAATGTTATAGGGTTTCCTGCTTAAGCAGAAGGTTGGACGAGAAAAGATGCGGAGACTCCGGAAACAGTGCAGAGAAGAGCAACAAAGAGGATTAGGGGACTGGAGGGTAAAACCTATGAAGAGCACTTGCAGGAATTGGGTATGCCTAGTCTAGTGAAGAGAAGGACTAGAGGGGGACATGATAGCCTTTAGAACATTAGAACTTCTTCCTTACCCACAGAACATGTGGATGGTGCTAGAGGTTGGGTCCCACAGGAGAGGGAGTGTCTGCTGAAGGCACAGCTGCTCGCAACCCCCGTTGAAGCCATCTGAGCAATCAATCCCCTTCGAGTAGTCATAGCAACCGGTCCCATCCTTCATGGGTCTCAGGTCCTCAGGGCACTGCAGGAAGAAGAGAAGGACAGGAGAATTCAGGATTGGTGGGAGACCAGCATACCGGGCTAACATGGTGTCTGCTGCTGCTGTGGGAAGGATGCAAAATACTGGCCAATGGCGGGGGGCACAACAAGGATCTTTGGCGGATCTGCAAGAAAATTCAGAACACATGTGGTTCATCCTCCGAGACTCCTTTTTTTTGTGGAACGTCCTTGATTCAGTAGCAATAAAGGAGAATATTTCTAGATCAGGATTGAAATGGAGGAGCGATCCTTGGTGCTCTCTGAGCTTGGTTGTTTTCTTGTAGATGTTTCATCAGTTTGATTAATGAAAAGTCTTCCAGAAAACAATCAAGTTCAGAGAGAGTAGAGTAGAGTAGAGTAGAGTAGAGTTGAGTTGAGTAGAGTAGAGTAGAGTAGAGTATAAATAGAAATAGAAATAGAAAGATAATTAGAATTAGAATTAGAAATATAAATATAATTAGAAATAGAAATAGAAATATAATTAGAATTAGAAATAGAAATAGAAATAGAAATAGAAGTGGAGTGGAGTGGAGTGGAGAGAATTATTTATTGGCCAAGTGTGACTGAGCACACAAGGAATTTGTCTTCGGTGCATAAGCTCTCAATGAACATAAGAGATATAAGTGATAAATTATGATCATAGTCATCATAAATACATTCATCATGAATCATAAGATACAACACTTAGTGATAGCCATGGAATACTACATAAGCAATCAAATCATACTAAGAAACTAAATAAAACAATATAAGTCGTAAAGAGGGAGGTTTGATTTCCAATAACACCACTTTTTGGGGGGAGCAGTACCATAAAATGGAAGGTAATTTAATCAAGAATGTAATGCAATAACTTTTATGAAGGATTTGCTATTAGAATAGCAGTTATAAAACATAAAAGTGAAAAAAATATAGAAAGATAGAAAAAACATAGAAAAAAACAAGATACACAAAAATTATCACCATAGAAAAAAAAATGAGATATATAAAAAGCGTCACTAGACCCAAGGTGTTGGGATTTCAAATAGAGCTGTTTTCATTTTCTAACCAGAGAGAGCTGGTTTTCTAACATAGAAGAGCTCTTAATGCATTTATTCCAGCTGAAAACAATTGGACAACGGTTTTTAATTTTAGTTTCCCAGCAAGCATTTTCCAATATTGAGTGGTTAAAGTGAGCATTAATCAATGCCTTCCGTTATTAAGTAGGACTCTTATCTTCCCCTGCAACTCCTCCTATTACTTATTTCTCTGAAACCAGGGCAAAGAGGAACGGGTGGAGGGGAATGGAAAGGGGGAAATACTCTTTGGATGGCAGGAAGAAGGTAACAAATGGGGTGGAGTAATAGTTCCAGCAAATGTCTGATGGGATTCCTGAATAAAAAATAGAATAACAGAGTTGGAAGGGACCTTGAAGGTCTTCTAGTCCAACCCCCTGCTTAAGCAGGAAACCTTACACCACTTCAGACAAATGGTTATCCAACATCTTCTTTAAAACCTCCAGTGTTCACAACTTCTGGAGGCAAGTTGTTCCACAGATTAATTATTCTAATTGTGAGGAAATTTCTCCTTAGTTCTAAGTTGCTTCTCTCTTTGATTAGTTTCCAGCTGTTGCTTCTTGTCCTGCCTTCATGTGCTTTGGAGAATAGCTTGACTCCCTCTTCTTTGGGGCAGCCCCTCAAATATTGGAAGACTGCTATCATGTCTCCCCTAGTCCTTCTTTTCATTAGGCTACACATACTCCAGTTCTTGCAACCATTCATCTTACAGTTTTTTCCCGA